TCTGCGCTCACGCGGCGAAACATTTTTGCACGGTCGTGCTAAATCGTCAAAAATACGGAGCAAGCTGCTTTATAAAATCGGCTGCGAAAACTGGGCTCCAGACTGTCGCTCCAAGGAATGGGTACAGTGACAGTATAGTACATTCCGTAGCGTTCAAGATATCGTAGTTCAGGTTCAAAACAACTATACCTAGGTGTGCATTTAACACCCAGGGTAAACCCTGAATTTTTAGTAAATAGGCATTTTGGAGTAAGCGCGATAAATTTTTTTTTTTGTCGAGTGCCCTCCTTGCCAATTTTTGGATGACTCCAAGGAGTCAAAAAGTGACGGTACCTCGTACATATTGATAGGGTAAATCCGAGCGGTGGCGCGGTCATAACGATGCCGCCACGGATTGGAGGGATGTGGTGCCACCCATATAATCGGTTTAGGGAGGATTCTGTCATAACGGTGTTGTGCCAAGCTGGTTCATTACCTCCACAAGTTCAAATCCTTGTAACTCAGGAGTAACCACTAGTAGCAACCATAATTGGTGCGTTCAGAGTTCAACGACGTGCGATTCTTCAACCGACCGACAGAAGGCGTCAGTGGCCACGCGTTGACAACGCTTGGCATCGATCGATACCGCTTACGCGCCCCTGAGCGCGGTCTATCCTGCATTGTCAACACGTGGCCAGCAAGTCATTCGGTCGGTCGGTCGCCGGCACGTCTTTGAACTTTGAAGGCACCTACTGATACCGTCCGTGATTGTTTCAAGTGACAAAGTAGGTAATCTAAAGAAAACCCTTGAAGGGGATAATGGAAGCAGAGACGGACACGAGAACGGGTTTCGACTCCTTTAGATATGTCCATCCTATTCTGTCCATATCTCCATTTCCCTACATTTCCTTGACACACTCTTTCCCAAAGGGACGGTGGACACAATATTAAATCCTACCAGTTTTCGGAGATTTCTCCGAACTGCCTCCCGGTGCTATGACTCTACCCTCCTCATAGCAAAGCGTCTTTTGTTTACTCCCTTTTCTTGCCCACACTCGAAGAAGTAGACGTACTGTGGTCAGGAAGTAATTTTTCCAAGAAAACCTTAAAGTAGAGGTCTATAGCAAGAAAAAAGGAAAAAACAAAAGGAACTGGAACTATCTATACTGGAGGCAGATCGAGAATCCAAAATATAGAAATGCTCCCAAGCTTCCTCATTTATTCCAGGTTTCCTACGCTCCGAGCAACCGGGCTCTTCCAAATAACTGTCGTCAAGGCGTACTTTCGCCGCAAATGCACGCTGTACGTACCACCCCACAGGAAATTTTTCAAAATTCGAGTTAGATACTTTGTAACTGCCAGGTGCAGCTGTACTACTTGTTCTTAACTTATTCGACCTTATTATTTTGCTACTTTAACATAAGAAAGACGCGTATTACCAGTAATGCAGTAATTACCAACTATTTTTTAAACTCTGTTATCATTACATCTACGAAAACAGACAGTCTAATGTGATCTGATCATTGAGTTGCATTCATAATACTTTGTTCTTGGTTTACTGCAATTGCGTATAATTGTTATTTTACTTTGTTGATTTTTTGTTGATTAGTATAGGTATTTTCCAATCGACATGTGTGTGTTTGGTAACATTCCTTACTACATAAGAGTTTAAACTTGTATTAATCACATTCTTGTCTGAAATAATAGCGATGTTAGAACCAACCTCTAAAATCTACTATGCACAAATCCATCTACCTGATCCCCATTGATAAGACCCCACAGTAGTGCTGAACTGTTGTGGACAGAAAGGCGCATGCCTTTCGGTGCTGCTACCGCGTGTATGGTTCGCAGTTCAAATCCTGGATCGATACCTGCCCAGGTCTACCAGCTTTCTCCTTTCAAATGGCCAAGCAATTCAGCAGCATCCAAGGTAATGAACTCGCTAACTGGTTTTGGGCCAGCCTTACAATTCATTACATAAACCACTCAAACGATAGAACATTGATGGATGGAAGTTGAATACATGGGTGCACCCCAGAGTCGGGCTGGTCTTTTTGGCAGTTTTGCTTTTTATCTTATTTAGCAATTCTGTTCAGTGTCCTTATATCATGTATGGCATCATTCTTTCTTGTTGGCGACGTTTTTCCTTTGAAATCGTGATCTCGCCCTTGACTTTATTTGGCTTCACAACTTTTTTTTTTCACCGAATCTAGTAAAAACTTTGTTATGAGGGCCCTTCAGTGCCCTTTCAATAGTGGACGTTAGGCTTGTGATCATAAAGTGAACTGAATTAGAGCTTACTACTGGGACCCTTTTAAAATTCGAGTAAAAAGTTGTACTTTTGCGAAAACTATATGCATTTCCCTTACCAAAAACTTGAGCAGTCCCTTCAGGAAAAATTTTTGATCTCTTTTTTGATCTTTTGGAGTAGTAAAGGTGATTCCAAGACTGCATTTCTGGTGATTTAAAGTAATAAATCTACCAGTAACATGAAAGAGTTCAATTTTTTCTGCTGGTCTGTTCATCTTTCTTACTTTCTTTAATGCTTTCAACTTTCATAAGAAAGTGGTAATACTTTGAAGCATTCCAATGGGAATTCTGAATTATCGGGTGTATCATGAAATACCATGACCTTTGTCCCCATTATCGGCATTTCTTCATTTTCGTGATATCTTGTCGCCATTGATCTTTTGTTGTGATAGCGCCTGAAGTGACCAAAGGTTGGTCCAGCACTCAAGTGGCTTGGCTTCCACTGCCCATAATTTGCTGCTTTTTGCTTCTATTACTGCAAATGTTGATATTTAGTATTCATTTACAATACAGTTTCAGTACTTCAGTAGGAAGTTTTATCACTTAGAATGACCTTGCTCAAACATTCACATCAACAATCCTTCAAAAGTAAGAATGTCGTAGTATATTCGGAAGAGCTTAGTTGAACTTGGAAACTTCGCTATTCATATCTCCTTTCATCCTGCATCCTCTCATTTATATTTGTTTTCTTCAAGTTCAAAACTATTGCCCAGCGCCCGTCGACAGGACGAGTTTTCTTTGGCAGCGGTACCGCGCCCTTCGAATTCGCCGAGCAAAGTAACCTGAACTTTGGTCTATAGTACGACAGCGGTGCAGCGTTTTAGCGAGCGGAAGCGAAACTGCCTAATAGGTCACGTGTTTGAAGTTTTTGGTCAAAAGTATAAAACTCAGATCAGTATGCCGAGTGTGCAGAGGATGGCTGCAAAGCTGAAGACCAAAAAAATGGTCCCGAGAGGAACGTTAGAGATTTGAGATATTGTCTCATATAAAATAGTCAAATGTCACCTGAACTATACCCCTGAGAATTCATACTTGTTTTGAACTTTTGATTCATCTTTGAATGGGCTACTTATATGGTTTGAATAATGCCATGTCATATTTTTGTTTTCTTATATTTGAAGCATTACTATTTAGGTCCAATCCCATGAGAGGATGGACGAAATCGCTCAGAAACAATACGCATTAACTTGTTGGTTATTTCCAGTCTTTTCTTGTCCTCGAATTCCATTGCTTCACGCCTTCTGACATGTCACATAGATGACGGATATTCCTTCGGGTACGTTTGATTATTGGACTCAGGCAGAGGGGTAGGGGGNNGGGGGAATTCTCATGAGAATTTTAAAAGTGAGATATTTGTTGCTGCTTCGTGAAGTGCCCACCCTCAGATACGGCTGTCCATCATTTATGTGTCTTCTGGCAATGTTTGCCCTTTTTCTATATAATTCATGACCTTTTTCCTTTAGTTCTTGTTTTTCTATATTATAAGTTTTGATAGCTTCGCTTTCCGGTCATCATTCAATGTCATGCCGTCAAACGGGGTCCCGTTTTCTCAGTGACAAGAATGAAAACTTAGTCCGCCTCCAGACTTTCACTATGGCTTCACACTACTACTATTCGTAAAATAACATGTATTAGTCGTAGGACTCCTACGGCGACACCATTCATTTCAGTAAATAATTTACGACTGGTGATACGGTAGGAGTATGAACACAACCTTCGCCCTTGTTTATCTTCGGCCTTTATATCGTTCTATGTACAAGTGATATCATCCGTTTTAACAGTGTCTTTCTAAAATACTGTTGTCCACTGATTTATTCGGTTATTACGTATTTCTTGTTTTTCCTGAACTGGTAAATATACATTACCTGGAACGCTAGAAGTACGGTCGGTGTCCTAAGATCGGAGTTTATTCCTAACTTTGTTGTCGCTGGTCGAATAATGTAAAGGGTAGCCTTCTAGTACGTGACTATAGCTAACTAGTCCACTGGTAATGGTAAAGGTGTAGGAGCGCTCTGGGACGACTGTTCATTCCAGTCAACCTTCGAAAATCGGGTGATATTCTGAAACTCGGGCCATTCGCATGCACTGCTTAGAATTGTTTCGACTCATGGCAGTTATAGGTGTCTCTTGTTAATTTTAATTCCTCTGTGAATGGGCGTGGCTTTGGCAGTGGGCGGGAGTACCTCGAGCTAACTTACCGAGTCAGCATTGAGCAGTGTTACTACCCAAGTAGACTTCTGCTGAGGTATGTGACGTTTCTAAGAATCACCTCTACTATATAAGTCAATGTTGACTTACTAGTAGGGGAATCGATGCGCTAGTTAGGTACGGCGTTGCTATAATAGAGGGATGCCGGCAAGTTCTAGTCGATTTTAATTGAGTTCAAGCAAGCTGGAACTCTTGGTTGTTGGGTGTAACACGAAGATTTTTGCTCCATCTTCTTCGCCCTCGTACGATTTCGATAATGGTGTACATCAGGCACTTTTGGCCCCTCTTGTTTCCGTACTTGTCAGTTTCTCACTGTCAGTTTCTTTGACTTGGATCGAATTTTCGGTCGAAAATGGTGATGTTGTTAAGTACAGATAAATTGTACATAGTAAACGGTTCCTGAAAATAAGATTTTCTTTATATGTTCTTCTGTTTAGAAACGTAAGAGTTATTTTG